CAGAATTGCACATACTCTGAAGATATTTGTGGTATAATCGAATGCCCACCAAAAGGCATCTGTTGAAGATGAAGCTTTCAATAATCAGGTAGACAAAATATATGATCTGCAGATATTATCCAGTCTCCATATCCAGTCATCTCAATGTTTGCTCAGTGATCCCATGAAAAAGTGATGACGGTAGCAAAAATAGAGTTTACACATAAGCTCACAACATAGTCTTATCCTTATTAAGGCTTTGGCTAATTTTACTGCTGAGGACCATTCTGTTATAAGCAAACCCCAACACTAAGCACCATCCTGATATCATTTCCCCAGGAATTCAGAGATCTACCCGATGCCACACTGACTGCATTGGACCTCCTTGATAATGTGGAGAAGAGTGGAAAGAAATTCATCTTCCCCGAAATTGATCTATATTTTGGACAAGGCATTGAAATCTCCAGCTGTAATACATCTGCCATCATCATCATCATCATCTTCATCATTTGTAGACCAGTGTAACAGCATTTCTCCACAGCATTGCTTCAGATCAAGTAACATCTCATTATAAAGGAAGTTCAGCAATGGCTTTATGCCTATGGAATTTTACACTATCTGGGAGAGCTAGGTTGTCTGAAAAACTTACTTAAGACTAACTTAGGAGAATGAATGTTAAATGGATGAGGTTTTTGTCTTACACAGTGTAGTACATGCTTTTGAATTAGATGATTATATGGTACTTACAGTAGGTCTAGTGGGGAGGACGTATATCTCTTAGTAGAATTTTTGCTTTCTTCCATGGTCACTTTGAGAGCTACTGGTGTGAATGTCTCTGCCTTATTCCAAAGGAAAGGAAGCTTCAACTATGAACACAATTGTTTCATTGAACAAGAATATGAGACTTCTGCCTGATTATTAGGGACTCTTTATGCACTGAACCAAGAAGAAAAAGGGATTACTCTACTGTATGTATGAGGTATGATCAAAAGATATGGTGAATGTTTAAATTTGAAAATATTATCACAGTAAAAGACATATTGCTGTTGATACCCCTCAAAATATTGCTCTGTACTGAAGACACACTTATCCCATCATTGTTGCCACTTTCTGAAGAAGTTCTGGAAGTCCTCTTTCATGAGTATCTTTGTTGCACTATTGTAACTGCCTCAATATATTGAATTGATTCAAATCACTTACCTTTTATGATCATTTGATTTTGGTGAAGAGTTATAAGTCACATGGTGTCAGATCTAGTGAGTGAGGTAGATGAGGGAGGATATAACATAATGTTTTATTTGACAGAAAATGCTGAAGATGTTTTGTGGCAACAATGATGTAAAAAGTGTATTTGAAGTGAGGGGTTGTATTTTTAGGGGGATCAATGGCCATGTGTCTTTTATGATAATAATTTTTTTAAAAATTAAACACTCACTGTATCTTTTGATTATGTTTATAATGATTGATCCTGACTATCCAAGAGAAAATTGAATTTGAGCTACATTCTGGGAATCAGGCTGACTATGTGCAGGACCCAGAAGATTTTCTGAGGCACTTCTTAGTAGCTTTATGTCCAATAGTAAAAGGTAATGGAGAACTATGGCAACCAAAGAAACAGAAGGCAATTGAGGATTCAGGCTTTTGGGAATAAAGGTCCAGTGGTGGTGAGCCTATGGTACACATGTTATTTGTTTTTCTTTTAATACAAAAGATGTTAATGTATGAGTTGTGTTTTGTAAACTAAAACCTCAGTATTCAGGTTTAGTTGGAGTGTTGGCACTTTGTGATAAATAAGTGGGTTTTGGGTTGCAGTTTGGGCACTCATCTCTAAGAGGTTCACCATCACTGGTACTCAACAGGTAAAGCACACTGATGAATGGAGGTTCTCTGGTTGAGGAAGGGGTTCATGTAAGTGAATGATATAAGAAAGAAGCCATAGATATCCATTTTAATTTCATTTATTTTATAAACAATGAGTACGGTAGCTTTATCTACTTTGCTTTTCTATGAATGTGTTTATTTTTGTATGCTAATTGTTTTCTTCCTATTTCTCCTTTCCATTTTAATTTTATATACAAGTTGTTGAAAGTTGACTTTATAATTTAGTGTTTAAATAAGATAATATTCTGTGACAAACTGAGGAGTAATGAATATGCCCAGTAGTGGATATAATTATCACTGGGAGTACACAGCTCCTTATTTCAGAAGGAGTAGAGTAAGTACTTCTTCACTTGTAAGAAGGATAGCTGCATATTACTAAGTGGAAATAAAAAGTCAGTGCATTGTCATCTGAGAGTTCAAATTGTGTGAAGGTGAGTAAATATGGGACCACATAGCAAGTGAACTATGTGAACTGAGTTGGTTATCGATTCCTTTTCTGCTACACATACATTCACCTTTCATTTCTCATAGTACAGTAATGGTGATGATACAGTAGTTCTCCTTTCTTGACTAGCGTGCTTTTAAATCATATTAGTTGTGGGCCCTACAGGGAAACTAGGAGTAGAACAGGTTTTTTTCCTGGTTCTAATGTGCTTCTCTCACCAGGTATTTTTACCTTCTGTAGTATGTGGGTTATTCACTACCCAACTCCTGCACATGTGATAGCCAAGAGCATCCGGTAGTTAGTCCTTTCTCATGACATATTTGTAGGTGGATTTGCAGCACAGTGCTAAGGCAATCCCCTGCAAACAGTTCCCATGGCACTTCCTTGGGCAGCTTTCAACAAAGTCCCTGAAAAGGTCCCAGTGTGTTAGCAACAGTTCCAGTGAGCTGCAGCCAGGTCCTTTAAAGTGAGGTTTAGATCTGAGTGTTGGAGTGGGGGAAGTCTTTTGGAGGCCTATGTCAACTCTGGGAATAGATTATATCTATGATTTCTGTATTCTTTAGAGTCCCCATTTACTTCTTACTAGCTAATCCTTCAAAACTTCAATCCTCTTTTATAGTTAATAATTCTTTCTGTTTAACTTCCCCTATTCATATTAATGTAAATCTTCTGTCTCGTCTTTTGAGCCTGGCTGATACAACATGAATGTGCTTTACAGCCAATTTTCTCTAAAGTATGTAACAGCAACATATTCAGCCTTTACAGGACTAATTTCCACAAGTTTGTCATTTTTCCTGAGCATACTACATTCTGGGGGACTTTAACTTTAGGCTAGCAAACTTCCTATCACCAATAATTGACCTTAGCAAAAATGGACAGAATATTCTATAGAATATTCTTTGGAGGTCTAACTGAAGAAAAACCCAAAGAAGATGCCTGATTATGTAGCATCATAAATTTGATCAATATAGTTGCAGCCTAGAAGATATCCATTTTTAATTCTGACATAAGTTGTTTGAAATCTAGCTGTATCCCCTCATTTTTGCCTTACTTAACATTATTCTTCCTGTGTGGTAGTTAGTAATATAGCCCACTTGTTCCTCATTCCACTTACACAAACCCAACATATCTCACAGCTGCTTACCATGATAAATCTCATGGTCAACACATATATCTCAGCTTTACCATATAATTCCTGCAAGTAGACAAATTTCTTAACTTATAGGGTGCTCAATTGTGCAAAGGAAATAACGATGTTTCATCCACTAACTTATTAAAAGCATAATTATACTGATGGCTCTTTTGTGAAATATATTAGTAAAAAATTATAGTAATAATTATTTCCCTGGCATTAAAGATATTTTGTATAGTTAGGCATCTAAAGAGGCAGTCAAGCTCACATAGCATCTTTCTGGCATAAAAAGAGATGATATAAACTGAAGTAATAAAAAAACAGAGGAGAAGCAAAATATAACCTCCAAGCAACTGACATCCTAAGTAGCTTCACTGAAAACACTGAATAATTTCATAATCATGGGCTCATGGATTATTGGATGGAAGGTACTACTTTGAAGCAAAATGAATAAGATCTTTGTGAAAGGACAACGGAAATATAAATCCTAACTTTCCTGTTTGGCATGTGCAATTAGGGCCATTAGCCACCTGATAAATGTTTCCCTTGCCTCAAAAATAGGGATAATATATGGGCCGGGGATTTAGCTCAGTGGTTTCACCGCCTGCTGCCCAAGCGCAAGGACCTGAGTTCGATCCCCGGTACCAAAAAAAAAAAAAAAATAGGGATAATATCAAAAATATTTTCCAAAACTGGTTTTGGGAGAGTTAAATGGAATAAACTGTTTAATGAATATCTAATTCAATGCTTGTCACACTGAAATGCATTGCCCAACAAGTCCTTCTCAGAATTGAAGGAAATCTTTAAAACATCATTTAATTAAACCTTCTCACATAAAAGATGGGAAAATTGAGATCCAGAAATACTGCATTATTTTATTTCTTAGGGGAAAAACCAGTTAAGAAATGACTCAAGGAATAAAGTAAGATTATTTAAAGTGGATTTCAATTTCTTAAAGTAAATTTCCTGAGGAAATTGTTTGTGTGATGAGATAAAACTCTTGAAAAGAAATATTTTTAGCTCCATTCACATTATAAACCACAAATTACATCATCTCCTGCATAAATTTAGAAGTCTTCTCTGAAAGACAGCCATATAACCGGATATTCCTGCATCATCATCATCATTGACATGAGCTAAATATTATTTTAAGAACAACTGCCAAAATGTCATGTTTCCAGTACAAATAAACTATGTCTTAAAGTTATGTAACACACATAAGCAAACTTTTGGTTTAGTTTATGATAATTCCATAGCACCCTGTTAGTCTTTCTGGGAAAATCATAGTGATATAATAATTTATGAATAAACTTGAGATATCTATTAGTCTATCACGTGCCATGTCCACGACCTAGGGAGTCTCTCCCCTAAGAGTTCAGTTTCCTACTGACCTTGCAGGGATTGAGTTTGTTTGAATCCTTAAATATCTCTGAGAGAGATTTTGAAAATGGTTTTACATTTCTAGTATTCCATCTTCCCATCTTTGAGAGATGGATCCTTCTTAAATCTAGGTTGATTCTGTGAATAGTGTAAGCATAAAAATAAGCAAAAGTGAGATTGTACCTTAAGAGATCAGCAGCGTTCACCTCCTGTCTTAGAACACCTGCTTTTGGAACAATGAGTCTCCAAGGACGAAACCTGAACTTGCTGAGGCCATACACCATGAGGAAGCCCAAATCAGCAGATGGAGCAGGTGTATTGAGGGGGTGAGGCTGTTCAGACACTGCAGCCAGGTGCCAGACATATGAGTGAAAAAGCCTGTGATGACTTCACCCCAGTAATTGTCTGACTGCAGCCGTAGGAATTCACCACACAACTATCAGCAAGAACCCCCCCCCTCAGCCATGATGATTGTCATTTTAAGCCACTAAATTTTGGGGGTATTTTTTTTTGGTCATTGTTGTTATGTAACAATAAGTAACCGGCAAATCTCCCTTACTTCCTTACTTAAATATTTGGGAGAGCAGGTCACATTCAGTAGTTTGTCTACTGAGTTGCTGAGGGAATGTTGCATGCTTGTAGCAGATGATGTTTTGGTGTGCTTGTGTTCTGACTGAATACATTCTTTATTTTTACCTTACATGCTGACTACTTTAAAACAAGTTTTGATGCCGTGATTAAATGATAAGAGAGTGAATGTGGTAAATTAATCATGAAACATTTAGTCAGACCTAACTTCATGAAGATGTTTAACTCAATTGTTTAATTTATTGAATAAGCTTTCATACTCTTAATCATAAGTTATTAAGTTGAATGCCTCATAATGTTTTCTCAAAAATATATGTCAAAATTGTCTGTTCTTTTCTCGACTCTACAAGCATCTCGGAATTTCCCAGACACAGTATGTCATCCAATATCTCCATCCCATTGCTCATGCAGTTACTTGTAATTCTCTTTCTCTCCAGACTTGTGGCTGACAAATTCTACCCATTATTCATGCTAAGATTAAACATTACTTCCTCCTTTGACTTATGGATTAATGTATTCATCACTCATCCATCATTTATTGAGTACCCATTTCATCCTAATTACTAACTTACTTTAAAAAAATTAATTTTATTGGTACATTTTAGGTGTACAATATAATGACATTCATTATTGGAAATTGCAACTTTACATAACCTTGGTTCTTTTTTCCCCCTTCCCCTGCTCTCCCTTCAACCCCTCCATCCCTCCCTATTTACAAAGACTTTGTTTCCTTTTTTCATTTTCTCATATTAATTCCATTCCCTTCTTTCCTTTCCCCTACCCCTCCCACTTCTTCCCCTTTGCCCCTTTTCTTCCTATTTCACATTATCTATTATGCCTTTTAGTCCTTATTTACATTTTCAGTTTCTCACACCAGAGAAACTATTCGGTATTTACACATGTGTGCCCTATTTATTTCATTTAAGAGTATCACTTCAATATACACACATTTGGGTATAAATGTCTCTAATTTGTCATTTTTTATAGCTGAGTAGTACTCCATTTTATAAAAAAACCACATTTTCTTTATCCAGTCACCAGTTGATGGGCATCTGGGCTGCTTCCAAGTTTTAGCTAATACAAATTGTGCTGCTATGAACATGGGTGCACATATATCACTGTGGTATGATTCTTTTAGTTCTTTGGGGAAGATATCCAGCAGGAGAATAGCTGGGTCAAATGAGACTTCCAGTCCTAGTTCTTTGAGGTATCTCCATGCTAATTTCCACAGTGGCTGCACGAGTCTACTTTCCCACCAGCAGTGGAGCAGTATTCCTCTTTCCCCACAGCCCTGCCAGCATTTGTTATTGGTTGGTTTCATGCTAGCAGCCATTCTTTCTGGGGTGAGGTGGAATCTCAGCATTGTTTTCATTTGCATCTCTCGAAATGACCAGTGATGTTGAACATATTTTCATGTATTTATTTGCTATTTCTACTTCCTTGTCTGAGAAATGTCTGTTCATTTCATATGCCCATTTTTGGATTGGGTCCATTTTATAAAAAAAACCCACATTTTCTTTATGCACTCTCCAGTTGATGGGCATTTGGGCTGTTTCCAAGTTTTAGCTATCACAAACTGTGCTGCTATGAACATGGGTGCGCATATATCACTGTGGTATGATTCTTTTAATTCTTTGGGGAAGATCCCCAGCAGTGGAATAGCAGGGTCAAATGGGACTTCCAGTCCTAGTTCTTTGAGGTATCTCCATACTGATTTCCACAGTGCTTGCACCAGTCTATACTCCCACCAGCAGTGGAGCAGTATTCCTCTTTCCCCACAGCCCTGCCAGCATTTGTTATTGGTTGGTTTCATGCTAGCAGCCATTCTTTCTGGGGTGAGGTGGAATCTCAGCATTGTTTTCATTTGCATCTCTCGAAATGACCAGTGATGTTGAACATATTTTCATGTATTTATTTGCTATTTCTACTTCCTTGTCTGAGAAATGTCTGTTCATTTCAGATGCTCATTTTCGGATTGGGTCTTTAAATTTGGGAGGTCTGATCTTTTTAAGTTCTTTATAGATTTGAGATAGTAGACCTTTGTCTGAGGAAGAGCAGGTGAAGATTTTTTCCCACATTGTGGGTTGTCTCTTCACAGTGCTGGTGGCTTTTCTTGCTGTGCAGAGGCTTTTTAATAAGAAGTGATACCACTTGTTGATTATTTGTGCTAGTTCACAGGTAACTGAGGTTTTGTTCATAAAATCTTTTCCTACACCGATGTCTTCAAGAGTTCTGCTTAACCTCTGTTCCAGCTGGTTCAGCGTTTCTATTTTAATATTTAGATCTTTAATCCATTTCGATTTTAGTTTAGTGCATGACGAGAGATATAGGTCTAGTTTTAATCTTTGGCAAGTTGAAGAGAGTTTCGGTTTTATGAGGGATACATTTAAGACAATAGTTACAGTGGAGGATGATAAATATTTTGGGAGCTATCCAAGATAGCCTGAAAAAATAAGCAAGGGCATCTGAGCTCCTAAAGTCCAAGGAAGTGGCCATCAAGCAAGGAAAGAGTGGAGAATAGCTTTTGTGGTTTGTTTCCCTGTTTTATGTTTTTAAGAGACGTATTTTTATTGGAACATTGAATTGAACTAAAGAGGGTTTATTGTACGTAATTAGAAGATTTGCAATAATAAAAGTAGTTTGAAAGTAGGATAGTTAGGAAGGGTTAGTTTTTTCTAACTCCTCTCCCAGCCTTCCCACTTTTCCCTGTTCCAGTTGTTGAGCTCACACTATATCTATCAGAATGTGTTGGGCTGGGGGGCAGGGATCTTTTTTTTTCTTCTTTTGAGAGAGGTCTTGCTATGCGGTCCAGACTGACCTTGAGCTCATTATGTAATCCAGGCTGGCTCTGAACTCTCAGTGCTCCTGCCTCAGCCTCCTGAGTGCTGGGAATACAAGTGTGTGCCATCACATCCAGCCAGAGTAATATTCTTATGTTAACAATTAGAAATAATGAGGCTTCTACTGTCACAATTCAGCTAGATGCATGATTGATATAGAGTCCTGGGTTTCAGCAGCCTGATTGCCAGCTACATGCAGAGTTTCTGGCAGTAGGCCACCCTGATTTTTTCCCTCTTTGTAATGTATATCTTATGTATTATACATGATAAACAAGTAAACAAAGTAAATGTTTCTCTAAATTTTGTGAATGTTCTAGCAGATTATCAAACATGAGGAATGGGGCATGGGGAGCCCTGATTTGTAGCTGATGTTAGACATGCACCTGGTATTGCAAGTGAGAAGAGTAGTCCTACCGGACTGACCCCTTAACTTAGGGTCTTCATTAATTTGGGGTAGTTTAATATCATAAGTGAATTGCAGGACACCTCCTTAGTGTTGGGAGAATTGGAGAATTTGTTGTGGGGAAATCACACCCCATCTGGCATCAGAAGTACTGTAAGTAAAGAGGAGAAATCATTATGATTTTCTCACACAGGTTTCAAGTCTGTTCAAAAGTCCTTGGATTAATCTTATAGTGTGAGGAGGTAGCAAATTGGGTTACTTAGCTTCTGTCTTAGTTTTTGTCCAGAGATTCTTGTGTTTTGTGCAGTGCTGGGTTGCCACTCTCTGAAGCATTTCTAGAAGTCTTCTTTTGTGAGTGTCTTTATGAAGTGTAATAAAAAATACAGTGAATGCTGCTGCTGAGTGACCACCAATGGAAAAGCAGGCTCATAAAAACAATTAAAATGTGTTCTTATCTACATCATTCACTGATTCTGACACTGTGTGACATCTGGCTCTTCACCAAAGTAAAAATAACTATGAAAAGTGAATGATTTGAATTGATTTAGGATTCAGGATATAAAGGCAGCCACAACATTTTAATGAAAGACACTCTTGAAGGATGACTTCTAGAACTGCTTCAGAAAGTGGCAGGAATAATGAAACAATTGTGTTCAAAATGAAGGGGTGTATTTTGAAGAGGATTAATGGTAATGTCTTTGTTGTGGTTTAGATTTAAAATGTTCCTCAAAATTCTCATGTTTGGAGATTGGCCCTAGTCTGAAGGGTTGGTCACTGAGGGTATGACCTGGAGGATATATCTCTCTCACTGGCTCATTCCTTCTCTCTCTGCTTCCTGGTTACCATGAGTTGAGCATCTTTTCTTCTGTAATGCCCCTTTGCCAACCTGTTTTTGCCTTGGAGTCAGCCAACCATGGACTAAACTGTGAGCCAAAATAAACCTTTTCTCTTTTAAGTTGTGGGTTTCAGGTACTGTGTACCAGCAATGGAAAGTAATTAAAACAGAAATTGGTACTGAGTGGGGTGTTTGGTATGAGCATACCTGAACATGTGGCTCAAAACCCATTGGAACTGTTTCATGGGAGAAGTTTGGATAGGTTGGTAAATGGCAGTTAGGAACCTATAGAATGCTGAAAACTGAGCTTGGTGGGAGATTCTGTTTAAAGCTTAGATGACCAAAATGCTCACAGAAATGTGAATAGTAAAGACCAGGCTCAGGAAGTTGTAGTTGAGAACAAGGACTTTTTCAGCAGTTTGACTAAGGGCCATGCGTGCATGCTATACTCTGGCAGAAAATTTGTCTACATTTTGCTCATGTTCTGAGACTTTGCAAGACTGAGATTAAGGGAGGTGAACTAATAAATCTGACAGAGAAAATTTCAAAGCAGTCAATGTTCAGGCTGTGGCAAGGGAATTC